CAGGATGCCATTGGCCCCCTTGGCCACCTGGGCACACTGCTGGCTCCTGTTCAGCGGCTGGCGACCAGCACCCCCAGGTCCTTTCCTGCTGGGCAGCTCCCAGCTGCTCTCCCCACGCCTGCAGGGCTGCACAGGTAAGCTTGGGGTGAGCTGCCTGCTCACGGCCACTGTATTTGCAGACCTGGCTTCCGAAATGTCCACGTGGGACGGAGTGATAGTGACGCCTTCTGAAAAGGCTTACGAGAAACCTCCAGAGAAGAAAGAAGGAGAAGAGGAAGAAGAGAATCAGGAAGAACCTGCTACAGGCGAGGAGGAAGAAAGCATGGAGACGCAGGAGTGATGTGCCCCGGGGCCGCGCTCCCCCTCCGCAGCCCGTCTCTCCCCCTGCAGCAGGGCCCCCGCCGCCGGGTGCTGCTGGCCGAAGGACGCGAAGAACCGAGGACTGAGCCCGTCCTCCACGAACGCAGCCATCTGACGTGACCTCTCCCTCGTATGTGTTTTTATAAGTTGCACATTAAAGCGTTCCCCCCTTTCGAGTGCGTCCTGTTTGTTTAGGTAGCAGATGCACGTTAAAGAAGAGGGACAGAAAAAGGTCTGATGGTGGGAGGGGTCCCAGAACTTGGGGATGCTGAACCCCAAGCTGCTCTCTGTGCTTTCCCCGAGGGACATCAAGGGATGGCTGCGGCCGTGACGCGGGAGCGTTACAGACTCGCACGGCTTCACCGGCCCATAAGCAACACGCGGTCACTTTTATTACGGCGCCTGCAAATCTGGAAATACAATTCAGGGTCCCCCAGTTCCTTCAGCTGCAGCCGAGGAGCTGCGGCCTCACTGTGCAGGACTTCTCGCCCCCTCCCGCGCTGCGGACGCGCAGGAGAACGCTGCTACAAACAGGAATACCCGCTTCCCCTCGCCAGCGGCCCGTTCCCTTCGCTGTCCTTACGGGGTCGCACCCATCACCATCCAGGGCCGCTCCGGCCCGGCTCACAGCGCTGTCGGCGCAGCCGTGGTGCGAGGCGGATTCGGCCCCGCGCTGCCGCGGGTGCCTCACTTGCCGGGCAGGCCCTGGGGGTAGCCACCTGCCGCCTCCAGCATAGCCCTCCTCCGTACCGTCTCCTTGGCCACGCTGTGGTTCAGCCTCCGCAGCCGTTCCTATGCAGGAGAGCAGCAGCCATCAGGACCGGGGGGGCTGGGATCCCCCAAAACGCCACAGCCCCCAACCCCTCGGGGTCCCCGCGCTGACCTGGGCGTTCTGCAGGATGTTGTTGACCAGCACCACCCTGCGCCGGGCGTTCAGCAGCTTCTTCACGTAGGGGTCAAGGTCCAGCGCCACTTTCTGGTCCTCATTGATGCGGCAGAGCTCTGGGGAGAGGGCAGAGGCTGGGAGCGGGCCCGGGGCACCACGGACCCCGGAGGCTGCGGGGCAAACCCCACAGCGATGACCCCCCGCTGTGCCTCACCCGTGGCCAGGCTGTCGATGTGCTCCCGCAGCTCCACCTGGCTCTCCCTGCGGAGGGGACGGCTCGGTGGCCAGCACAAAACCCTCGACCCCAGCCCCAAACCCACCCCTGCTCCCTCTCCAACACAGAACCTGCACCCCCAGCTGCCCCTAGCTCCCAGTCCAAGCGCTCACCCGGCCACCTGCATCCCCCTCCGCCACCCCTA